TGTATGCTTTTTTAAAATTCTTTGTCATGCTGTCAACCAGTGAACACTAGCAACATTTTATACAAAAAAAGAAGGAGAAACATTACAGGGTTAACTGTCTACTCTTTCAGAGCCCATTGAGGAATTCAGTTGGGGACTGATGTCCTGATCAGTTTGAATTTTCGGAAAATTTAGAGGATTTGTATGTAAAATGTTGCTGGAGAGCAAGGCCTTGCTCTCCAGCAACTTTTTCCATACAAATCTTCTTATTCTTTTAAAAATTCGGACCGTCATAAAATCTCCTTCTTTAATGATGGGGGCCTCAAACATTTTGATATTTTCGACATGCTTTTTCCATTTCTGGCGTTCGTTAAGTTATAGCCCATAATTGTATGAAAAATAGGTCACGGGATGGCTTAACTGCAAAGGGCCTATTGTACGACAGATACGAAGATAAAACCTTTTTACATTAAAGGATATATGTTTTGTCTCATGGTCAAATTTCAGCCCTGCTTTTAACGAGTAAGGAAAGATATCATCATCAGTTCCGCTTCTCCGTATGGAGAGTGGGGCCAGAAATTTTACTTCTCCAAGACACTCGGTAAACCGCCGCCACGGCCTGCTCCTACCCAACAACAGTAACCCATCGCCATTCGCTCTTTCTCCACTGTTCTACGCCAGGTTTATATAGCAGGTTTCAACTGAAGTGCCAAGAGAGAATGAAGATCTTGTAACAGAGTAAATGATTCGTTAACTTTCGCAAATTTCAGCCTCGATATTCATATATAAAATGAATTCTTATAAAAAAAGAGCGTGGGCCTTATTTCTAAGGCAATCCCTCTTAAGTAATTTTTAACGCAGCTCCTTCGCAGTAAATGGGTGTAAAGCCTCTCGGTCGGTTCACGCATCATAGGATTGGCTCTAGGATTTCCGAAATCTGGAGTGACCTAAAAATAACTGTCGAAGGATTTCCTTGGGAATAAGACCTCTGTGGTGGATTAACTCTCTTAGTGATACTTTCCTCTTCTCTTGACAATATTGATCATAACATGTACAGTAACAATTATTTCTGACTCAGCATGACTGTCTTTCACGTGCATACCACCGGGCTTTTCCTAGAACAAGGGGTCACGTAGCAGCTCTCGTGAGGTCTCACATGAATGGCTGGATATACCCTTAAAGAGAACAATAGAACAAACAACAATGCCTCTAGCCTCAAAACAATAAAAGCTGCTGCAATAATAAAACGATAGACAGATTCCACTAACGAGTTTACGTCTTTTTTGCCACCAAATTCAGATCATGGGGTGTTTCATTTGGGAGGTTACAATTGTTCTGACTGTACATAGTGTACTTCCATGCAATCAGCTGAGTGTGGTAAATTGCACAATTGTATCTTGTTAAATGAATCATCACGTGGTCTGAATTTGGTGGCAACAAGGAAGTAAACACGTTTGTCGAATCCGTCTATAGCAGCTTCGAGAGCTGCTACACCTCTGAGACTTCCTGTCGAATAACCACAGAACCA